CTACAACATAATTAAGAGCAACAATTTTAGATAATCTGAATACAGTATTACTTTAAAACACTTCAGATTATCTGACTTTAAGGTAAAACTGTACTGTACAACTTCTCAAGTTTACTGAACATTATCCTTACAACTATAGTAACTATGGTGGTGTTTAATATACCAGTACAGTACATCTTTTATCCTGATTAGAGTAAAGAAACTATATCATCATACATAATTATTCTGTTTTGTTTTGTTACATGATCAACACTTCTGCTATATAAGGAATGGAGCACAATTCAAAATTGTAATTTTGTTAACAATTCAAACAACTTGTCACAATACATGTACTTCTAATCACAACCAAGAAAGAAAAAATCCCAAACTTTTGACAACGGATTTTCCAAATTTCCCACAGGAGAGAAAGCAGAGCAGTTAGCCTTGGTTGCTTGCGGAAACAACATTCACACTGGGTCTATATCAGTGGTTCCCAAACTGGGGGACGTGAGGTGGGTACAAGGGAGGCGTGAAACCATCTGCCAAAATTTGCCATTTTTTGCTCAAAAAGAATATACAGTAATGAAGAAACTATGGCTCCTGTAGTAGCAAGTGTTTATTGAAGAGTATTATGATATCCCCAAATATTATGTGCTATGGCTTGATAGCTTTTATCCAGCTCGGAGAACAATACAAGTTTCCGTTTCAGTGGGTTTACTAAAGCCGCAAAAGTGTCCTTTTTTATGATTTTTTTTTTATTTTTCTTTGGTTCCTGAAGGAGAAAATGTTTATTGAAGTTTATAATTAAAGTTTTTTTACTGGTATTATTTATGTTTTATTTGTTTTCATCCATGTTCACTATGCAAAGAGTTATCTGATCCTCAACAATACTAAAATATAATTATATTAAAAAATAAAATCTACGTAGATTTTACATACAAAAATATAAGGGGGGGGGGGCGGCATGAGGACTACGCAAAAAGCAAAAGGGGGCGTCATGTTAAAAAGTTTGGGAACCACTGGTCTATATGGTTAGACTCCTGTTCTCAAATATACTCTTTATCTCTCAAAATACTGTGGTCTTCATTAACGTCCACCTTTCTGCATTTTTCTGGCTTATAAATACTCCTTGTGTACATTTGCTATAAACCAAATATTTTCAACATCAATTTTTTGTAAAACTACAAGGTTATCTTTCATTATGTAGTTGTCAAGTCAGTATGCAGGTAAAGCACTGAGTTTTATAATACATCAGTCTTTCTGTGACTGTACTAACATGCAAACTATCAATATACAGTATGTTTGTCTTTAAAGGTGACTAAAAATGTGATGGGATATCTTCCATCTTGGTAAATAATCACAACTCATTATATATCTGGCTTTGAAGAATCTCCAGTTAATTATAATAAATATTATGGGTCCAGGTGGAAAACTGATTAGCAAAAGTGATACATGGATATAGGGACATATTCATATCACACAAATGGAAGTGGTGATTGTTAAATAAAATAACTCATGTACAGTATACATGATAGCTGATTAGAGAGTAAAAATTCTTAAAAGAATTGTGTGAATGGTGTTAGATAAGGCTTGTATAGAAAGTAAAACAGTAATGAATGTGAAAATATTAAGTTGCTATTTGAATGAAAATGGCAAGAAAAAAGTTGCTTGATTTAAACAGATAAGTTTTATGCTGCATAATCTATTATACTTTTGCACCTCATAGTGATATGGAGAGAATGAGAGTATGGTAGATGAGAGCTGATAAAGTGTGAGAGAGGTGGAGGGAGTGCCTGAAGAAAAAAATTACATCAAAAGAAATGCATTTACAGGGGTATTGGTACAGTACAATTCGAAGATAGTTGGGAAGAATACAGAAAGATGTGGAATAGAGAAGTTGAGGGAATACTGTACATGTGCTGCTGGAAGATGTGGTTAATGAGAAGGTGAAGCAAGAACTAAGTGATACAAGCGTGTTTGCCTCAAGGAGACAAGGTTTAGGTGACTTTTCCTGGAGCCTAAGCTTGGTTAGAAGAGCTCGCAAGGTGCACAGTGGGATTTTGATTAAATAAATGGAAAGGATATCTGAATAAACTGTAATGCAAGTAAAATTTAGGAAGTGGAAATGTGTTATTTTCTTTCTGCATTCAGACACTGTAGAGAAACACTAGTAACAAAAGAAACATATGCTGTATTAACAGATTAGGAGAATATATGTAGTGTTGTATATATATCTTGTATATATATATCGACACCTGCAATTGCATCAATGAACCTGAGTGCAGGAGAAATTGGTAACTTAAGTGTTTGATATGACTGTTTACAACAAACTACTAAGAAGGTGTAACGAATTTGATGAGGTACTGTATGTTGATACAAGTTCATACATATCATCAGTATAATACCACAATGAGTGACATCTCATTAATAGTTCAAACCTTATATGTTATAAATGTATAACCTGAAATGCACATCACCATTCTCTTTTTTACATAATTAATGACAGTTTGGGTAAGTGATTTAAAATTTAAACTCTAAAACACATAAATATTCACCTTATATACAAATCATACCAGAGAGCACTCAAAATAGTGTTACTTAATCTAGTTCTTATTATAATTTACCATCACACAACAATCATAGTGCAGTAGAATCCCAGTTATCCAGCACCTACGGGGATTGAGAAGTGCTGGATAGAAGTTCTTCTGGTTAGTTGAGACTTGCTTGTAAGATCCCCCAATAAATCCAACAGTGCACAGTGCTTTTGGCTGACCTCACAAATTCGCTCTCTCAGAAATAGACTTCTTTAACACTTACTCCACTCTATATAAACGAAGTGGCTTATAAATAAATAAAAATATTTCATAAAACTAGAAAAAAGAAAAATGAAGAGCATGGATGTGTATGTGTGGGAAGTAATCATGTGTGGAGGTGGTGGGCTTTAACTGTGTGGCCATACTCTCTCCTGATGTGACATGGCAGAAAAACAGTGCAGAGCGGAAGCTGCACTTCTGTGAGTCAGCTGATTGATTTGTTGGCTGAACTGGGTCATGTTACCCAGAGGATATTTTGAGTAAAGGAGGAGCTATTTTTTGTATAAAAAATACTTGCTATTTTATTTTATGATATGCTATGCATCAATTTTATTGTTTATCATAGCAATAAATGTGGCAGCTCATCCCCGTTGCGTGCGGTACTCAAACATATGATACTTGGTGATTTTAGAGGGATATTTATTACAGTATTATTATTTAATTTTAGTGCTGGTTAGTTGAATCTACCGGTTGTTGGGACACCTGGGATTCTACTGTATAATATACGTTGCACTAAAAAAGTTGGCCTAATTTTATACATGATATTTGGTGTCTACTTGTACCAGGTCAGGGGCAGATCCAGGGGGTCCAGACACGCCCCCCCCCCCTTTTCATCAGTTAATTCCAATACTTTTTCTTTAATGCAGTACAGTATTGTACTCAGACATTTTGGTACAGTAATAAGTACAGTAATTACTATTGACCTCAGAATATCTCCTACTATCAAATGCACATGGCCTCAAAATGCCCATGTTCCGCCACCCACAAATTTTTGGACCCCCCTTTGATATTTCTGAATCTGCCCCTGCATTCATACATGTCAAAACAACTTATAACTGCATTAATAAATTATCATAACCTAGGAACATCACTTCAAACATATACTGGACAGTATTTTCCTTGACATTAGGCCTATACATTTACTCTCATACAGGAATGTCACAATAGTAGTTTAACAATACACCACCACCATGTAATAAATAAAAACAAAAAACTCAACACAACTGCAGTATAATTGTTTTTTGTAAAACTGTAACTCAATAATTTATTCACTAAATATGTTTTATTTCAAAATTTGTAACTTTGAAAACACACGAAATTCTCAAGCTTTAAGATTTTCTCTTTACCTGTAGTAGAAAATAAGCTTACTTTTAGGGTAATACTAATCATCCAAAAATAAAACACACTACACTGTACCTCACTAATATGATGGTGCTTTGCCAAAAAGGTTTAAATCATCACCAATCTTTAATGTGATGCTCATTTATGGGTTCATTTAGTTCTTGTAACAAGTCAGAGCCTTTGTTTGTCTGTGAAAGGTTTCAATACAACCTACAACAAGAGTACTGATGAATAAAGCAGAAATCTTACTGTCTCTGAGGCCGAGCTCCCCCCAAAACTAAAACAAAATTTAGCCGGCTGGCAAATGGATAATGTCTTATCATGATATGCTCCATAATGTGAGCTTATAAAACATACAGAGAATGATTGTGATGCTGATTAGAGGATAAACAGGTAGGAAAATTGGAGGTTAATTTGCACATATGGCTGCAATATTGCTGTCAAGTCTGCATTTAGAGTGGTTTCTTGGAAAAAAAAATTATGGAAACACTGGTGTTGAGTCTTCTAAAATGTGACACACACACACACACTTTTTTCAAAGTATTAGGGCAAACTTATGACTTGCGACCTAGTGTCTGAAATACGGTATACTGTATAATATAATTTACATCATTCACACATATGTGCCCGAATGTAGATTTAGGAAAATACTTGATGCCTTATATGAAACCGAACTGCACTGTGACTACTTAATTACATATTTCAGCCATGAGAACTAATTAACTTTTATATAGTTTCAATATTAGTATAGTATTGAAGACAGGAAACTGGGATGTATCTACGGGGTGCCTGACTGAATAGGTCCCAATCATAACAATTATGTTAGGTTCAGGCCTCTTAAGAGTAGGATGCATTTGATTTGTGACTTTAAAGTTGTACACAAAATTTAACATGAAAAATTGATTATGAAAATAAACTAAGCACCAAGGAAGGATTCAATTATTGATGAGACCTGTGAAGCTTAGTGGAGGAGAGATTATACAGTTCAGTTTCTAAGAAATATTAATCTTTAATTTCTTTTATTTCTAAACATTGATAGATTTAAGATGTTTAAGTCAGTGTAAGGTATGAAATAATACTCATAAATCTGAAAAAATGGTGCAATGCTGCATGTATGTTTGTGAATCAAAAGGGGAAAGGCATACATCCCTATAGGGTGATAATGGACTGAATTTATAATGGTACAATTATAGGAAGATGTAATGGCTATGTATTAACCAAACTGCATATAGTTCTACCCTAAACATTCAGCTTATTCCATGAAAAATTATAGTAAATGCTACCTGATATTTTTTTTTTCTTTTCCGATGTATGCCCTTTCCTTAGGCCTCATGATTATCCCCAAGAGTTAAAGCATATACTTAAAAATACCTATATTATATCTATATCACTACTCTACATTTTTAAAAACATTTGTATTCAGCAGCATCCTTAAGTTGAGGCTGCATGTCTCACAAAATTTCTTGTTTTTAAACAGTAACTTCATCTACATTATGGAAACCTGCAACCCCTCACACGTGCTAAATTTTTAAATTGGTATTTTCTAGTATTTTTTCTACATAAAGTACACTTACATTTCAAAGAGTATGTCAAGTAATCGAATTTTTATCATTCACAATTTCATCATCTGGAATCTAACCTAACCATATGTCCTCCAGTGGCTAGTCCTACTGGCAAGGGTATCTATCTACTTTGTAGGTACAGTATTTGAAATCAGTGATGTACCTTCAGTCCATACTCAAGCCAATTAGCATTTCTCACAACATTTATGATGATCTCAAATAAATTTTCGGACTGATAAATATTAGCTAAATCTGATGTTCTACAAAAAGAACCCTGAGCAAATTTTTGTCTTTTCTTTGCATTTAAAAACATCTCTGTACAGAAATGTGGTAAGCATGAAGCAGAGTTTATAGAATGACAAAAATAATATTCTATATATAATCAAATAACTGAAGTTACACTGCATTATGATAATAGAAACCCATTCTTTATAATTATGCTTCTAAACAAATGGAGTTTTCAGAGCTGCATAATCTATCAAACTATAAACACTGGATGGGCATAACATAGACTTAGTAGAAGCCAGAGTTCTTATAAATGACAGGGCTTATGGCTAAATCTATAATATTTGTCATCATGTCTAAATTCACACCACAAATTCACCAGTATTTTTTATCACAATGCACACTATCACAGGGGAAGCCACAAGTTGCAGCATCAACAAATTACTTATGTACTGTGTGTACTATTTACTATTATCTATGTAAGGAAAATCATATTGAAATGTACATTCATGCCACAAAAGGTCATCAATCATCAACTTTAGTCGTGTTCTATGTTCTACCACATGACATGTTCCTATCATTATAGTATCTTTGTTACTATATCTGGAATATTTGGTTTCTTCTTTCATTACAGAGTAGAATTATACAAGGATTTCATTACAATATTTTAGAACTTAATGGGAGACTGTATAGAAGGTAACATCAGTTCTGTTACAGTGTTTACTATGAACATGTTTCCATATTAATACCAGAAACACACATTCTCATCCAATTAAGTGGTTTACCTTAATTTAACCTACACATAATTTGCCACACTTAGGACAGCAATATGCCTCTGTCTTCTACAAATTCTAATTTTGGTGAACTTTCATTTATAGTAACATAATAAAATAAAAAAATTCAATCTAAATGATATTATTATATTCCTGACAGTAGCATGTCTTTACAGAGTAAGTTTACACTGACAAGTGCTGAACACTGTAAAATCGGTATTGCATACTCTTAAAAACTCAAAATAGCTTTTGAATTATTGAAACAGACATATAAATGTTTCTACATCTGAACTTCATTAACAGACATAGAATGATCAACATTTTCCATTACTCATTATTTAAGTAGTAATGATTTCTGACTGTATAGAGTTGGACATTTTACCATCTTGTGAGCAAAGATTACTTGGACAAAACAAAACTTTTCCTTCACAATACAATATATGTGATCTGTGTTGAGCACCTGGCATCAGAAGTATTTGGATAAAACTCCGTCTAACTTCTAAGTCACTGTACATCCACAACCATGGGCAAATAGTGCAACACTATCAACGAGTATCAAGCTCAAACTGTGCTTCTCAAACGATTTGTTTAATACATCAGGTGTGTACAGTACTTGCTATAAATTTTTAAAGACTTATATGGTGCTGCTAGGCCTTGAGCACTTGCATGGAGATGGCTCAAAAGAACCTAACCTTCCCACCTCCTCAGAGTAGGACTATATCTCACTTTAAATAGATATAAAATCTTCATAATGGTGATTTAATATTGTGCTGAATTTATTATTCCAGCTGAAGTAGTATTCCATGTTCTCAAGTTACAATTGGGTGCACACAATGTGTCAGCTTACAGCCCATATATACTACCTTGCTGGAACCACTGGCTTAGAATTAAGTAGGCATACTACAGATGACTCCATATGTGTAGTCCAACAATTTACAAGTCCCCAGAACAACCCACCCATTCCTACATTACAAAATATTTAATGGATAACAAGTTAACTTACATCAAAGTATAAATCAGATGATTTTTCATCCCACAAACAGTACATACATTGCAAACTACGGAGTATCTACAGAAATAGAACGTGTGACATCCTTGTAGCATGGTCGACACACAGGTACAGGCTGCTGACTAAGATGGCCTGGAAGTGCTGCTTTCTTGTCTATACAACGAGTGCAAAATACTTCTCCACATCGCCAGCAGTGGTGCTGTAAAAATTAAACACATAAATGAACATTTTTACAAAATCATTATGAATTACAATAAACATGATTAGTCTAGTCTATCCGAAAGCTAGAAATGAAGGCAAACTGTAAACCACTAATATTTTGAATAATTTATCTTTATTCATCCTAAGTATAATACCCCCTGTACTGTACTTTTCAAGTCTGTAATTTGTAATTTGTCATAATTTGGCTATTATCAGACATTCCTAACCTCACAATCTGCATGAGTAGAAATTTCATAAAATGAAAAATTATTTAAATTAAGAAAATGGTATGTGTTCCACAACTTACTCTGAACAGCCCCAGACCCATTTCTACCACTTCAGGTATTTCATAACATTCAAACAATAATCATATAATACACTAAAACGAAATACTGTACACAAATAATTAAACAATATGAGAAAAGAAGAAAAAAGGCCAGTCTGTTGGGGATGGAGCTGAAGCCCAACACTGTACTAGCAGATGTACAATACTCGATCATGAAACTGAAAAAACTGTGCCGACATATCTACAAATTAATAAAAGGATTATGGTTCTAAAAAATCTTGTGTACAGTACAGACATAAAGAATTGGTGTGATGAACAGTTATCATCCAGCTAGTTAGAATATACTGTATACAATACTGTACAGACAAAATTAGTAAAAAGATATAAAATGTTCTACAACGGCTAATTTGAATAAGTTGTTTACATCCTTCTCCTTGTCCACATACCGTACTGGCATTTACCTTTTTATTTCCACAATTAAAATACAAAACAATCACATGGAACTATAAATTTTATACACAGGTTGGAAATTTATACGCAAAATATAAAAACTAGTTTTAATTAGGGACATTCCTGTTAGTTAGTCTGTTTTTGCAAATCAGGAACAAGCTTTCTTCCCTCTCACCAGCCTGGAGCAAGTCCATAAGCGTTTCTTCTCACGTTTATACTTTACACAATACAAAGCAAGAGTTGTAAAAGCTAACAGTTCACCATCAAAGTCTTCAAAAGCATCCATCTTATTATTGTTTTGGTTTGGTTCTAACAAGTTCACTGCATTTCTAATGACAAAAGTACGTCTGTAGTGTGAACACACTTCTTAAAAATTACAGCAAGGGTAAAAGTGGAGCAGACAATAAAGAATAATGTATGTGTTTCAGTGCAATAATCGATAAACATAAAATTACACAATGATATTTCAAGAAATTTGCTTTCATTGGTAAGCTTAGGTAGGTTTGGTTGGTTAGGTCACGTTCTGTTAGGTTTTGTGCATTGTCGTTTCCTTTCTCGTGTTTAGTATCTCCACAAATTTTGGTTCAATTCCATAAGTTTTTCTACCGCTAACCGTGTTTTCCACCTTTACCATTGTGGATAAAACCACTACCGCTAGTGCTAGATGAAAGCTATACAGTAGTTAATTTTGAAAGTTAATAACCATAATCCTGCATTGTATCCTCTTATCATGTCTAGGGCCCTTTCCAGACATTAGCTTAAATTGCACCATTTTAATAAATAATAAAAAAAAAAAATCCGTTGACATTCTTTACTATTAGCTACAGAATATTTATAATGTACATTTGAATTTTGCACAAGGCATACTGTTGAACTCAAGGTGTTTGTGGTTTTCAGTAGAAGTACCTACCTTCCGACTGAAATGGTCAAATGGAGTTGAACATGAGCATTCTCGCACATTTCTGAAAGTCTTCCAATCAAGTGCCACAGATGACAGTTCTGGGAAGACTGAACGGTCAGCTTGATATGATGTCAAATAGCCCTGAAAAAAAAAACAGGTTGAATTGAAAATAAAAAAGTCACATGCAAAGTAATTCTCATTTTTCATGCAATGACAAGAGAGTAAGAGGTTGTCACCGAGATGGATAGGTCCACCACCACACCAAGCAAAAGTCTGAATGACTGTAACTCTTGACAGTGATGACTGAAAATACTAATACAGTAATTTATTTTTTTCCATCATCTTGTTATAATACAGTACAGTATATCTGCATACAAAATCTGGTTAAGAGTTACTGATATCACAACTTCCTCCCCCAGGGCATAGATGGTCATTCCTATCTCCTTCTACTGGGACTGCAGGAAACAAACATGATACTGGAGGTACTATACATCAGAAAGAAGGGAGGGGTGTAATATAAAGTTGGTTAGGAGACAATACAATACAATACTACAAACAAGTAGAGAGCATCAACACACTAAAACTTGACACATCATCACCATGAGACATGCTATATGCTACAGTACCAGATGCTTAATACAGCAGTTAATTCAAATGAGGCTGGGAGAGGCTGAAGCATTACTCTGTGAACACTTAAGTTATTATTAAGGATATACAAATGTTGGACTGCGAATAGAACAATACAGATGAAGTGCAAGTCAGAGGTTAGCAGATTTGACTGGAAAAAAGATATCTAATAATAAAAATAAGATGGAATATATGAAAGGTGAAGGAGGTTAAAACTACATATTTGCCCATTATATGTTTTGAGTCTCTAAATACTGATAAGATTAACTGTTTATTTTATAGTAATAAGAAAATAATAATAATTTCTACCTTTGAGGAATATATAAAAAATTTTCTCAGATACAGTAATTGCTAAATGGAGGACTGAATCTGAAATTCCTTTTCTGGTAGGACCCCAAGTCCAGCCAACCTTCTTGAGTCCCTGGCGACAAATGTGAGCTCATTCAAGACCACACTTGATCAACAATAGCGCAATTACAGATACATTCTTGAGCCAGTACAAGCCCAGTACTTGCCAACAGCCCAAGCAGTTAACGAGCCGATCAGAGGCAAAAAGGATATATAATAAAGTAAAGTAAAATATTGTACTTATAGCGTATCACTTGCAACTACACGTTTACTGACAGTACATTACAATACAGTATTTTTGTTCTACATTCATATTTTGATATTCAGTAATATTTATCCTCTTAATTTTAATAATCAAGCACAATTATGGTGTCATTATACATTAATATCAATAATTCATAGATGTATTTATTAATAACAGTAAAAGGTGCTGTAATATATTTGTACAGGTAGTTGTCTGGTGAAGGACATCAGCAATGTTTATGAGTTGCCTGCTCATAGAAATAAAGAGGTTGGGCTCCATGTCCCTTATTGATGTATGGAACACTGAAGCTTTGTTTCTAAATGGTACTTGTGAATATTTATTACTGATAATTTAGAGATGAGTAAAACCTTCATATTGTATTATTTTCTATATTGATAGGTGAAAACATTTCTATAAACTTACATAAATATGGAACATTAATGTTTAGTTTTATAATGATAAGTAGGGATGCACCGGAACTTAGTTCTGGCTGGAACCTCGATTTTTATGAAGTTCTGGTTCCTGCCAGAACTACGGTAAAATAACCAGCCGGAACCGGAACTTTTTATAGTGGTACTGGTTACTGTTTTGTAAATTAAAATGCTTCTTATTTCTAATGGATTATGCAGCATAAAAAAATCCTGAATGGTTAATGAATATTGATGTACTTTACAGGTGTATGTGTAGCAAAAAATTTATTACACCTTAAATCATATTTAATGTACTGTACGTACATGTCATGTACAGTACAAGATACAGTGCTGAGTGTGACGCAACTGGCTGAGCCGACAGCGTGAAACCAGACAGATACTGGATACAGTTGGTGATACATCAACATGTCAAGGGTTTGAGCCTCGGCCCGGACACACGTGAGAAGGGTGTTATCCAGTGTGACCTTCACTACCAAACACCACAGGTTACCAGGTCCCCGGTTTCCTCCTGTACTAACACTGGATAGACTGCCAAAATGGCTAGTAAGCTGATAGGTGGCAAATATGATATCACAAAAAAAATAATAATAATAAATAAATAAATCATTGTGATGGCCTTGTGTCCAAACACAAACATGATGTCAAGGACTCAGGGCACACCACAGAACCAGTTGCAGTTATTTAAAGTTCTTTACAAACCATCTGTTCTATGTGTACAGTACTTATATATAAAGTGAACTAAAATTTCAAACTTAATATAATTTATGAAATGCAGTGAATGGATCATTAATACAAGATTACATGTTATCTATAAAGCTTGTGGTAATTCACCATTGAACAACACTGTAGCCCTTTGTTTTGAAACCACTGCACTAAGTAAACAATAAATAACATAAACCTTCATATTTGTAGTATTAGGTTGACAAATGAATAAAAAAAATTAACATTGACCAAAAATATCATACAATACTAGGATTTCTGAACGTCATGCACTTGAAAGAACTTGGAGGAAAAAACAAAACAAAAACTAGAGTATAACACCCTAAGTTCTGATTCTGGCCGGAACATTTTGAAAGTTCCGGTAAGTTCTGGTTCCAGCCGGAACTTGATGTTATGGTTCCCGTGCATCCCTCATGGTAAGTGTGGATATTTACAGGTAATTACTGTACCATGTACTGGTACAGTACTCACAGAAATATTGGTTCTTTTATGCTTCATTGATGTCTATTTCCATTATAATAAGAATAAATATTAAAGTAGTACTGAACTGGACTGCACTGTTCACCAAAATGTACTCGTAAATACAGATTTTTCAAGATTACTGTCTAGCTTTAACAGGTAGTTTATAATATTTTTCTGGACAGAATACATATTTGTGGATCTCAACAATCTGAAACACCTTCAGTTTCCAGCAATTCAGATTACAGAGATGCTATTGTACTGTATTAGAAATTACCAGAGAAAAGCAATAAAGGTAATATAAAATGTGGAAAAGTGCAGCATGGCTCCTAGAACTGTATACTGTACTGTAGTTGATTTAACTGTTAAGGAGTGGAGAGGGCAATGCAGAATAATAACTGAACAAAGTAGAGACCAATTAAATGACTACCGGATATTCAGAATGAGACTAAAGAGTTCCCATATGGATGGTGGAGGTACCGACTGTCACTACGTTCACTGACTGTACAGGTAATGGTTATGCTGCCTACATAAATCTTAAGCCTCAAACTAAAACTTTCTCATAAGGGAAACTGTGGCAAGCCATACAGTTTACGAACTTACAACACTTTTATAAAATAGTTTACCTTAGTTTTTATCCACCTACCATAAACTTTTTGCCACTCTGTATGAACTGTGAGGGGTTGATGAAGTTGGAGTCAGGGACAATCTTATCTGACGAAACATCAGATCCTGCAGAGCTGGTGACTGTCAGAGCACCTACAGACACCAAGGATTCTTCTACTTCTCGCATGCCCAGCACTCCTATAGTTTCTATTTTCTCCTCACCATTCTGTTAAGACATTACAGTAATCTAAAAGTACCGATTAAACTCTATTTAACCTTTATTATTAAAAGCAAGGGTATATTCATGACTAGTCGTTTTTCTTTTTAAGCTCTTAAGTAGACCAGTTGGCTTAAGTTATCTGGGGAACCACTACAGTGGAGGGAATAAAGACAGTACTGCATTGTACTCTTGCTTTCTACTTGAAGTTCTTTTCATTGGCTAAATTTTTTGTGGATCAGCATTCAGTAGACTTACACTCATACCCCAAGTCTCTGTTATTCTTCAGATATTTCTACTCTACTGCTTATCTTTTACTTTTCACTATCTTGGTACCTCCTGAGGTTAACTCCCACTTTTTTCATACATTATATTATCCCCACACAAACACAATATTAGTGACTTCACTAATCTGAAAACTAAACCAAGATGCAAACTCTTGGAAAACTGTTGAACCAACGACCGAGTCTTCAAAAATAAAGTTATTAAGATCACTGGAAATTAATGTACTTGGAAACTTTTCTGTGCCACCCTGTGTAAAAGATTTAATTCCTGTAAAAGGTGGTAAAATAATAACAGGAAAGTATTTTTTGTTCTGACAGATCCTACTGATGGTTCACTCCTCATACATACCTATATTGCTACCTGTTAATCATATATACAGTAATTTTAAAATAAAATGTTGTAAGACATAACAGAGACATGATGAGTGCACAATATATAGTATAACAAATTTATTTTCAATCTGACTGTAACATAAAGAGACCTTTATCAACCCTTAAACACCCAACCTTATGTGTCCAGGAGTACCAATACTTCACTTTCGTGAAGTTTTCTATGATGGCTGGCTAATAAATAAGTGAAGTAGTCACCACTAACTTGTTCATTTGTAACAATGTGTAAATAGAAAAGGTATTGACAAGAGGTTCATATAGAGGTATGAAATGGTAACAAGATAATGAAACAGAACACAAAAATGTCAGAAGGACAATGTGGAGGTTAAAAATGTATAGAGCAGTATTGTGTGATGCAGAAGTGTCAACACAGCCAAATCCTTGGAAGAGGAAAATAACAATTCAAACCTTTCCTGCAGTAGGATTCATAGGTGCTACAAAGACTATCTGGTCTATTAACTATATTGACTTACATTTGTGTGAATCTTAAAACTTTTACAAAAGTGCTAAGTGTTTAAAAGTAGATACAGTAATTGTGTTTTACGTGTCAACTAGAACAGAACATTAATTTCACCTATCTAACATACTACTGTACTACATATACACCAAAAGCGAGGTGTATTGCATGTACAAGATTTCAACACTGTAAGGAGAGGTTATTTTAAGAAAATAATATAAGGATAGGAGGAAAAAGGTACTCTGAAATTACTGTCTATTTATTTCATGTCACCTTTTGCTCTAGTCAAGCAGAGCATTCCATGCATCATTTTTATTAAGCAATCTGATACCCTCATTCATCTCCACAACTTACAGCATCCAGTACACAGTTAATACATTTTTAGAGTATGAAGAATTATGCAGAATGTTTAGGCAAATTTTTTTTTTCTTCTTTTATTTCACTTCAATGCACAAACAATAAAACTGGGTAAAAAGTGACAGCTGTTGCATGTGTATATGTGTGTGTGTGTGTGTGTGTGTGTGTGTGTGTGTGTGTGTGTGTGTGTACTGTATTATACAGAAGTTGAAAAACACTAGAGAATGTTAATATAAAGTACCGAGAATTAAAATATATTGTATCTCCGGAAATAGTGAGAATTTTGAGACTATTCCAGGTTACTAAGTGAGCTGACTTATGAGTTGTAACTAACATGATAACTGTACATTTGCCATCTGCAATACCTGTACTTTTCATTTTGAATTAAGTTAAGAAATTGACAGTATGAAGCTGTTCTTAAAATATACTGTATAGGCTTAAAGGGAGAGATAAAACTTGTCACTAGACCAAGAGTGAGTACTACTGAGCTACTTCTACTTCACTAGTTGAAGAAACTTATTATTCAGCTTTTTCACCAAGCACCAATATTTTGGGGGATATGACGGACATTTCATAAAATATTCTCTAAATTTTATAGCCATCATAAAACACACGAGAGTTGAAATAAAGAACAGATTGGTCACCTGAACAGCTAGTAAGCTGATAATTGGTGGAAATAAAAATATTAAATACTGTACAGTACTAATATTTTCTTTTCTCTTCCTGCAGTATCATCACTACATAAACTTCCTCTTATGCTAAAGTACACCCTATCATAAACTCTCCACACTCTTTCAACCTATATTCTTTTACTTTTTCCATGAACTATAAAAACAAAACAAAAATTCTTGTATCGCCTGTGATTTAGTAAATTATTAATCCCATTAAATTCTTTATGCACACCGCCTTCTATGACTCTGCTTTCCTCATTAATCTGAATATAATAACAAAAGAAACTAACCTGCAGGGCATCATCAAGGATACGGTTGTCACACTGACTATCAGCACCTTTCTTTGGGGTGTTTCGTCCTCTTCGCTCTAGTTCATTCTTGAGCCATGTGATGCGCTATAAGAAAGAATGCAATTAAAGTCAACATGCTCATTACATTTTTCTTTTCTTCATACTGCTGTAAAATAAGGATTGAATTATAAAATTTTATTTTATGGTTGAGGGAGAATATAGTAAAACGACTTGTAAGATAAACTCACCAAAAACCCACAGGCAAGGTTTGCTTTGCTTAGTAGGTCATCTGCATTCTGAGGCAGAGATGCTGTCCATTTGATATCAGAGTAAAACCTGAGATCCAGGATTACAACATAAATTCTGAGCTTGATCTAGTGATTGCTTTTAAAGCAGTTAAACCAGAACAAAACCTTGAACTATATAGCTTAAACTGAACCCCAGACCATAAATCTCACATTGTCCTGCTTATAAGGGAACCCATCAAGGGAGGAAGGAAAGATCCCAAGTCACCAGACTCTTCACTTTATTCATAAAGTCCCCTTTTGCATCTTTATTCAAAGAAGCTGCAGATTCTGTACTCTCTTTAAACACCTCTTTTATTAACTAAATTTAAATATTTCAGTATTTCATTTCACATCTCCCTAACTATGCAGTACAGTACCAGTAGATATATTGTAATTACTTACTGTACTGAGCAACTTCTACCCTTAGCAGTTGTGATAGCTACTTCAGGACACAAAACTAAGCAGCAGAAGACCAGAAGCACAAATAAACTTTATTACGAATCAAAATCCTGTATTATGTACTGAAATATATTTGAAAGGTAATACAGTACACATGTTGCACCTCCAGTTACAAATTCATTTGTCAAAGCTGCATATGTGATGATCCAAACCATGAACAGAAATCATCGTATTATATTTAAGTATGGCTTGTAGGTAAACAGACTTTGTTGACTGTATTGGAAAAGCTATGGGAGCAGCCTTTGGGGAACCTGATGATTTCATGGTTGAGCCAGATTAGGTAATGTTTGATTGCCTCAGGGAGTTGCCCTGCCAGCTAAAAGGACACTTGAAAGTCTGACATATAATGACTATTTCCCACTCGCATGGAAGGCAGGAGAGAAGTTGCATGAGACAATACAGCCTGGAGAGCTGTTATCAGGTAAAAATGGCATGGAAAATGGTGATGATGAAGATATTGATGATAGACAAAAAGTTACTCACCTTTGTGAGGTAGTCAGCTTGGTCAGTGAGTGCTTGTGTGTGCTCTGTGGTGGCAGCCAACACGTCTCCCAGTGGTTCTCGTGGGTGAATTCCATTTTCAAATCGATTGTACATCCCACGCCAAAACCTGCACATAATGATAAGATCACCAACCATTACAGAACAGAATAACAATGCTGTATGTACTATAATATAAATAATTTATCTCTTTTTTCTCTAACTTTCAAAATCTAAGCAGTGGAAACAAACTTAATTCTGTCTGCCTTCATTCTCAGGCAATTATCATAGAACTGTAGTAATTCTTAGACTTATACTACTGTATAGTCTTTTTGTTTTTAAATTAATGACGACTGTAAATAATTCCCCTCCCAAATGTAGTCTAAAATAATTCAGTAACTTTCTTTGTCTGTTTTCTGTTTTATATATTTTTTTTATGAAACAAACTCCTGTGTGTATTTTCTCAAAAAAAAAAAAATTCCAGGTGAATATTCTTTTATGTGGTAGAAGCTTTATGTAATCAGCTTCTATGATTTTCTCCCACAAATGAACAGTAAAATGTAAATTATGTAACCCCTCCTTTAATTTTAAAGCACAAAACCAATATGTCAAGGGTTCAAGCCTTGCTTGGCCTAGACACACGTGAGAAGGGTGTTATCCAGTGTGACCTCACCAAACATCACAGGTTTTTCAGGAATAAATAAATATAATAGTATAGTACCATTAAAAATAAGTGTGATTGAAGAAAATTTTATCAATTGTAAATGAACCAACATACATTTCCACAGCCACATTTGTTCACACCTCTTGGCCAATCAGCACTCATCTAACCAACATGTACAGTTTTATCTCTGCGCTCTCTCCTTTGTTTGAAATCTAATACATGTATTAAGAGAAATTTTAAACCCATAATGTCTGGAGAAAGGTCAGCAAGTGAATGTTGGTACAGTAGCCAGATGACCAAGAAAGTCATTGTACTGATTTGAAAATGCACAAGATATGGAGGATTGAGGCAGACTGAGGTCAGTTCCTTGGCTTCACTTCCTCCACCATTAAAATAATACTCTCACAAATTTATCTGCAGAGTGATGATTAAATTTAGTTTCAATATTATCCATATTAAAAATGCCATAATTTCATCTACAAAAAGACAAACCAACACACACAGAGCCATTATCATTACCCAAGGAAGATGTACAGTAGTGTCCTGTAGCATTTATAGGTTAAGAATTGAAAATGACAGGAATGCATCTCTATGGGTGCCATGTTATAATGATCTCTTTTAATGGATTAAACACTTGAAAGACCCTCCTCAGGAACATACCTTGTCCATTATAAGTCTACCTATATAATATTTACACATTTTAAATTAGAATGTACAGCTATCAACACTCTCTTGACATTGGAAATGTAAGTGGACAAACTCTTCCATATCTGAAAAAATAACAACTACTGTACTGTATATTCTGCTAGGCACTAGGGTCCTAAACATAGGCCTAGACTGTCAGTTCATAATTTTTCATATGACAGAATTTAACTGTCAGACATCACTTAGGCAGCTCATTTACACAAAGGATGAACCAAGAATGGGTTAAGAATCATGTGGCAAGTCTTAAACCAAGCCCTCAAATACATTTCAAATATCACTTTCCTAACCACACTTTTAGCTTCAATATTCATGTAACTTTCTCCTCTATCTTCTATCTACCACCTTATAATCTTTTAAGAATATACTTTTAAGAATATTCCTTTGGAGTTCTACCTACCTCACACTCTGAGGGCAGAGGTTAAGCCGCAACACGTCTGCAGTTGAGTCTCTTCGATACAGTGGATTCTTGTATTCACTCTCACGAGACCTCAAATACCCCCACAGTGAGTATGTTTTATCTGATAATCTGTGAAAAAAATTTCAAGTTCATCCGAGTGCACAGGTGACATATGTTTAACATAATTTATTCAGTACGTATAATCATGAGAAAAAAGTTAATAAAAATTATGTACTGCACTGTATTGTAAATTTATCAAAAGTGAAAAAAGGGCATTATTTCACAAAAAGAAATCACTGTACTTTACCTTAAATCAACTCTGTCTTTCTGGCAGTTGCCAATAAATGTTCCAAACTGTGAGGAATACACATGGTCGTGGAGAACAAGAAGATATCTCTCATTAAACTCAAAAGCTGATGGTAAAATTTGCTGTAGTTGCCAAACACAGTCTGAAAGGTTACAAGATACAGATACTGTAATTAAAATCAAGGTCTTTTAATACTATTTAAAATTTTGTGTGTAAATTAATGTGTATTTGCATACAGAAGCAAACACACAAATACATAAGTTTGAAAATTAAACAGATTACAGGTATCATTACTTCTGCTACATTAGGTAGTACAGCATATACTGTAGGTTGGTGTGACAGATAGCATTATGCTTATAAGTACAGTTAGTCTTGACAGAAATAAGCAAATATTAGTCACTTTATAAGTTGATGCTAGGGAAATACAGTAATTACAGCTCATACAAGTACAGTAATTTATGTGAGAGCAAAATAATGAAAGAATACACTGTATGTATTTCAGTAATGCAGAACATTTACTCATTTTGCATTGAACATGTATTTACTGTACTCAAATTAGTTTAAGTTAATTAATATGAACTGTTCATATAAGGTGCTAGATGTACTGATAGGTTCTGCCACAGAGTACAGTATGTATGTACTGTAAATTAAGGTTTAATGAGTAGGGTCTACTCCATGTTTATCAGAACGAAGTGATAAAAATAATCAGTATTTTTAACTGAAGTATTTCCATTACATTACCGCACAGCTATTTATAATAAGTAATGAGGAAGTTACAGTACCAATGAACTGTGTGAAGATTGGAGACACCTCCTTGCTGTCTCCCTGGATGTGTCCACACCGATCAGTAAACTTGTGGCCAAATGCTAGCCATTCCTTTTCAATTAAGATCTGTTTGAAAAATCTGTGTCAACATATTTAATAAAATTCGGTTAAATCAAATATTTTAGTAAATGAAATACCTGGCAATGAAAATTGTCTGATTCAAAAGCAGTGATTTAACAAGTGAGACAGACACCCAAACATTTTTGACATGTTAATTTTAGATTCAAGCTACCAAAATGCAAATGTGATCTATATACATAAGATTGCTTATAATAAGACAATTACACATCATTTACATTCTATATAGTATTACTGTACTAACTTAACTATTTCCCCCAAAGCAATTTACCCGGGACATAAATACCTGGAATCCTTCAGTGGTGCGGTAGTAAGGGTCGAGAAGAAGCTGAGCCAGTGCTGAGGTCTGAGCTGTACGGTCCCAGCCATCAGAACAGTGCACCAGTACACTTATGCCTTCCACTATTGAATTGGTGATGAAAGAAGCTGTTTCCAATACTGAACGCACATGCTTCAGCCAGCCTGATGACTCGGCACCACTGATAAACCCACCCATTGAAGGTGTCACAAGCTGGCAGGCTGAAGGTAAAGTAGAAAATATTAGATCGTCAGCTAAGAAATTTGTTTAACTAATTCCAGAGTTCTTCCTATATGTTGATATTCTACTCTCCAGACCCTCTGTAAGTGTTCTGCAAATAACAGCTATAAGAAACTCTTATCACTGCATCTAATCTCCCTACATATATACTGTTAGTATACAGTATCTGTATATACAGGAGTTTTCATATAAATGTAGGACAGAACAGTACTGTACAAGTACTGTGATAAACATGTAGTACAGTACTAGTGTTGTAGTGATCATACAGAGTTAGTGGTGTAGTGAACATGTAATAGCAATGCAGTACAATATTCAATTCAGAATCATCAGAGGTCACTCTGGTCAATCCAGAAAGGTCACATTAGATCCTTGATTATGTTACCCTATTGAAGGTTTTGAGTAGGTGATTCCTTCCAAGTTCAGTTTAAACAGAATTTAAGGCAGAAAATTTATAGTACTTTTAGAAGAGTTTTGTCTAAGACAGACAGAATCCAGAAGCATCCAGGAGACACAGGACAAAGTGACATCCTTTCATGCTGAGACAAAAATGAAGTATTGAAGCATTATCAGAGTGGAGAAGAGTGATATAAGGATAAATATGATTTAGAGAGAATGAAAAAAAGAAGCAGTAACTATGTAGTATACAACAAGAGGACTTTGTAGGAAAATGCAGTGTATCATGGAGGGGGGGGGGAGGTGAGGTGCAGCAGGAAATAAAAGTCATACCCAGCAGCACAAAAATTCAGGATGACAATGTAAACTAGTTCTGCTTGTGTCGCTATTTTTCTCTCAAACAAATATAACTATTTGCTGGCACATATAACTGTTGAGATTTGTGTCAATTTGAACTGAGAGCAATGTTGTCCTGACAAATATTTGGTGGAGTGAAGTACTGCACATTTTGTTCTATATGTTGGTGCTAGAATAATGGTAAAATAACAATGGGTGTACCTTACTGACCCAATTTGCTATATAACGAGGCAGTTCCTTTCACCTACAGGTATTTCATAGTATACAGTATTAACACTGTATTGTCTATTTAAAAAAATTATATTTTTAGATAATAGTTTTTATTGTCTCCCAAAGATATGTTACAAATACCAATGGATGATAAAAAACCAAATGCAATAAGTTATACTTTATGCAGATTAACTAGAATTAATGTATCAATCTACTGCTCCCACCTGTCAGATTTTGTGAAATATTTAGACTCTACAATGGGTTTAGAGTCACAAGGGGTCATGAAGGGCACAAACAACAGCAACTCTAAATTATCAAATACATATGTACAGTAGCTCAAGATTTACTCGGGGTTAAATCTATATTTTCTTTTGATTGATAAGAGATGATTTGGTTCAGTTACAATCAGAACCAGCCCAAGCATCAATTGCACAAGTCAATCTGACAGGAAGCAAGTCTAAAATGGAAGCTCTGCATGTGTGGGGTAAATCAAGGGAACTAGAAAACCTCAAGAAAGAAATGGCAGGGGAGAATGGTAAAAGAGGAATGTAGAATGCAAGAGGAGAGTGCTGTAACATCAAGGAAGGAAGGAATACTCTCACAACAAGGAGGGAACACACACAAGAATAAGGAAGGAACACTCTCACAACAAGGAGGGAACACACACAAGAATAAGGAAGGAACACTCGCAAGGAGAAGGAAGGAACACTCACAAGAAGAAAGAAGGAACACTTACAACAAAGAGGGAACACTCACAAGAAGAAACACTTACAACAAGGAGAGAACACACACAAGCAGAAAGAAGGAACACTCACAAGAAGGAAGGAACACTCACAACAAGAAAGAACTCAAATCCATTCATTCACTCACTCACTCTTCCTCAAATCCTTAACTGTATACAAATATACAAACAAAATTCTCACTCTCCACATTGGCTCAAAGGGTTATCATCAGTTCATTGAGTATACCATACTAAACAATTACAGTGCCAGTAATCATAACATAGCTTTTACATGAGTTACTGCATTACACATAGTAGTTAACAGATACAGTACTGTGATTTTTATCTTTCATTTCTATTGTCTACAAGTTCCTGATGATTGTTCATACTAACATTCACATACCAACAACATTAATTATGAGCCAAGAATCCATTGAAACACCTAGATGGCAACTGATGACACAACTATGGCTGTGATAATCTCGGAGGTATGAGAAAAGGTATACACTTACTTTCAATCAGCTTGGTTAAAGATGCCCTCATCACATGTATGTTCTCAATGCCAGAGAAATGAAACTTGATATTTTCATAATAAGCCTCATTCTCATACCCCTTGCCGGCAGCTCGGTTAGCCATAGCATTGATCTGTGAAGATTATATTTTAATTTAATTTCTGAACACTTAACTATTAACTACAGGATAACAGCATTAGTGTATAAGACTCCATTACATTGAAGAAATAATACAATGAAGATACACTGAATACTTGAGATGAAAGTTGCTATGAGTGGAGTAAGATGGGGAGGAGGCTGGCTGGAGGTAAGAGGGGTGGTGCAACTGTGAGGAGGAGGATGGAGGTAAGAGGGGTGATGCAACTGTGAGGAGGAGGATGGAGGTAAGAGGGGTGATGCCAGCTGTGAGGAGGAGGATGGAGGTAAGAGGGGTGATGCCAGCTGTGAGGAGGAGGGTGGAGGTAAGAGGGGTGATGCAACTGTGAGGAGGAGGATGGAGGGGTGATGCAACTGTGAGGAGGAGGATGGAGGGGTGATGCAACTGTGAGGGGGAGGAGGATGGAGGGGTGATGCAACTGTGGAGGGAGGAGGATGATAAGAGGTGATGCCAGCTGTGAGGAGGAGGATGGAGGTAAGAGGGGTGATGCAACTGTGAGGAGGAGGATGGAGGTAAGAGGGGTGATGCGACTGTGAGGAGGGGAGGCTGGTGGTAAGAGGGGTGATGCTAGCTGTGAGGAGGAGGATGGAGGTAGAGGGGTGATGCCAGCTGTGAGGAGGAGGATGGAGGATGGAGGTAAGAGGGGTGATACTGTGAGGAGGAGAATGGTGGTAAGAGGGGTGATGCAACTGTGAGGAGGAGGATGGAGGTAAGAGGGGTGATGCCAGCTGTGAGGAGGAGGATGGAGGTAAGAGGGTGATGCAACTGTGGGAGGAGGATGGAGGTAAGAGGGGGGATTGGACTGTGAGGAGGAGGATGGTGGTAAGAGGGGTGATGTGAGTGTGAGGAGGAGGCTGGTGGTAAGAGGGGTGATGCCAGCTGTGAGGAGGAGGATGGAGGTAAGAGGGGTGATGCGACTGTGGAGGAGGAGGCTGGAGGTAAGAGGGGTGATGGAGGAGGGCTGATAAGAGGGTGATGAACCGGAGGAGGAGGCTGGAGGTAAGAGGGGGTGATGCCAGGGTGAGGAGGCTGACTGAGGTAAGAGGGGTGATGCCAGCTGTGAGGAGGAGGATGGAGGTAAGAGGGTGATGCAACTGTGAGGAGGAGGCTGGAGGTAAGAGGGGTGATGCCAGCTGTGAGGAGGAGGATGGAGGTAAGAGGGGTGGTGCAACTGTGAGAGGAGGCTGAGGTAAGAGGGGTGATGCCAGCTGTGGAGGAGGAGGCTGGAGGTAAGAGGAGTGATGCCAGCTGTGAGGAGGAGGATGGAGGTAAGAGGGGTGGTGGTGGACTGTGAGGGGAGGAGGATGGAGAGGGTGATGCCAGCTGTGAGGAGGAGGCTGGTGGTAAGAGGGGTGGTGCGGAATGTGAGGAGGAGGCTGGAGGTAGAGGGGTGGTGCGACTGTGAGGAGGCTGGAGGTAAGAGGGGTGGTGCCAGCTGTGGGAGGAGGAGGATGGAGGTGAGGGGTGGTGCGACTGTGAGGAGGAGGCTGGTGGTAAGAGGGGTGGTGCGACTGTGAGGAGGAGGCTGGAGGTAAGAGGGGTGGTGCGACTGTGAGGAGGAGGCTGGAGGTAAGAGGGTGGGGCGACTGTGGAGGAGGAGGCTGGTGGTAAGAGGGGTGGTGACTGTGAGGAGGGAGGCTGGTGGTAAGAGGGGTGGTGCCAGCTGGAGGAGGAGGCTGGAGGTAGAGGGTGATGCGACTGGGAGGAGGAGGCTGGTGGTAAGAGGGGTGGTGCGACTGTGAGGAGGAGGCTGGAGGTAAGAGGGGTGGTGCGACTGTGAGGAGGAGGCTGGTGGTAGAGGGGTGGTGCGACTGGGAGAGGAGGCTGGTGGTAGAGGGTGGTGCCAGCTGTGAGGAGGAGGCTGAGGTAAGAGGGTGATGCGACTGTGAGGAGGAGGCTGGAGGTAAGAGGGTGATGCGACTGGGAGGAGGAGGCTGGAGGTAAGAGGGTGGTGTGACTGTGAGGAGGAGGATGGAGGTAAGAGGGGTGATGCGGACTGTGAGGAGGAGGCTGGAGGTAAGAGGGTGATGCACTGTGAGGAGGAGGCTGGAGGTAAGAGGGTGATGCGACTGTGAGGAGGAGGATGGAGGTAAGAGGGGTGGTGCGACTGTGAGGAGGAGGATGAAGAGGGTGGAAGGATGTGAGGAGGAGGATGGAGGTAAGAGGGGTGGTGCGACTGTGGAGGAGGAGGATGGAGGTAAGAGGGTGGTGCGACTGAGGAGGAGGATGGAGGTAAGAGGGTGGAGCGACTGTGAGGAGGAGGTTGGTAAGAGGGTGGTGGAGAGACTTACATTTTTTATTTTTGGTAAAATGACCAAAAATTGTAGAATCTATAATATAAGGATTTTTGGCCAAAAATACGTTTTCTCTCTGAACTAAAATTTAATGTGCTAACTATTTGGTACATCAGAATAATACACAAGCTTTTAAAATGACCTCAGAAACCCATAAGTGAGTAATTAGCATTGCAAAAGTAATTAAAATATTCTAAAAATCATTTGAACATTTTCTAAAAGCCATTGAACAAGTTATAATCAAGATATCAAATTTTGGTTAACAGATCATAAGCAGCACATTCAGGAGTGCCTATACTGAAATTTTTGAACAAATCCATTTTTTTGGCCGAAAATGACAAAAAATTAGCAAGTCTATAGCCTTAAAAGGATTTTTGGCCAAAAATACGTTTCTCTCTGAACTACCGATTTAGCCTTTCTTTATTTTAAGTATCCGGGATAATACGGCACCAAAATATAAACCCATAAGTGGCGAGTAATTAGCATTGCAAAAGTAATTAAAATATTCTAAAATCATTTGAACATTTTTCTAAAAGCCATTTGAACAAATTATAATCAAGATATCAAAATTTTGGTTAACAGATCCTTAAGCAACATCAGGAGTACTGCTCTGAAATTTTTGAACAAAATCCGTTTTTTTTTTTGGCCGAAAATGACAAAAATTGTATAAATCTATAATAAAAAGGATTTTTGGCCAAGCGTTTTCTCTCAATCCATTAATGTGCCTAACTATTTTAATTACATCAAGATAATACACAAGCACCAAGAAATGACCTCGAGCCTAAAATGCTTGATAATTAGCATTGCAAAAAGTAATTAAAAATATTCTAAAAAATCATTTGAACATTTTTCTAAAAGCCATTTGAACAAGTTATAATCAAAGATATCAATTTTTGTTTAACAGATCGTAAGCAGCATTCAAGGGTACCTATACTGAAATTTTGAACAAAATCCATTTTTACGGCCGAAAAATGACAAAAAATTGTAAGTCCTATAATATAAGGATTTTTTGACCAAAAATACACCTCTCTGAACCTAAAATTTAAATATTTCTTATTTTAAAGGCCCATCCAGGATAATACACAAGCATAAGAAATGACCTCGAAAAACCCATAAGTGGCGAGTAATTAGCAGCATTACCAAAAGTAATTAAAAATATTCTAAAATCATTTGACATTTCTAAAAGCCATTTGAACAAGTTATAATCAAGATAGCATCAGAATTTTGGTTAACAGATCGTAAGCAGCACATTCAGGAGTACCTTTACTGAAATTTTGAACAAAATCCATTTTTTGGCCGAAAATGACAAAAGTGTAAGTCTATAACCTTAAAAAGGATTTTTTTGGCCAAGCAGATTTCTCTCTGAACTAAAAATTTTAATATTTTCTTCTTCAAACATTCAGAATAATACTGACACAAAAACGACCTCAAAAAACCCATAAGTGGCGAGTAATTAGCATTGCAAAAGTAATTAAAATATTCTAAAAATAATTTGAACATTTCTAAAAAGCCATTTGAACAATTACTAATCAAGTATAAAATTTTGGTTAACAGATCATCAAGCAGCACATTCAAGAATACCTACTTAAACTTTGAACAAAAATCAATTTTTGGCCGAAAATGACAAAAATTGTAAGAATCTATAACCCCAAAGGATTTTTGGCCAAAAATACTCTCTCTGAACTAAAATTTAATGTACTAACTATTTAAGTACATCAGAATAATACACAGCACCAAGAAATAACCATCAAAACCCACATAAGTAACGAATAATTAGCACTACAAAAGTAATTAAATTTTCTAAAAATCATTTGAACATTTTCTAAAAGCCATTGAACAAGTTATAATCAAGATATCAAATTTTGGTTATAGATCCTTAAAGCAACACATTCCAGATACCTATGGGAAATTTTTGAACAAAATCCATTTTTGGCCAAAAATGACCAAAAATTGTAAGTCTATAATATTAAAGGATTTTTTGCTAGTAAATTTTCTCTGAACTAAAATTTAATGTGCCTAACTATTTAAGTACATCCAGGATAATACACAAGCACCAAGAAATGACCTCAGAAAGCCATAAGTGTGAGTAATTAGCATTACAAAAGTAATTCTAG